ATGTATACATGTACATGTAATTAATTTCAGTTAATGATGATAAGCTGTACCAATTTACATGTTCATGTATGTCCCTTTAAAATTACAGCAGCACCACCATATTTTGTATTTTAATTTAATGTGAGGTAGTAGATTATGTTACATGTAGATGTAATTTTTATTTTTATTTTTTTTCTCATTGTTTTGCTAGTTATTAAAAGGAGTTATTAATTCGGACGGTCACTTGTCTCATAACATAATTCAGTTAAAAGAATCAATTTACGATATTTTCATAACTTGATATCGAAAAGTAATGCTATCCTGCTTCATTTTTATCACCTTTTGTCAACGAGATTGAACATATTCGTTCAAAATGAATTAATACGTGATATTAGTGAGTTATTATTAATATTTCTTACATGTATATTACAATTACAAACCTGATGTACTTGCATAATTCATATTAATGTACTTATGCTGTGTTGAAAGCTTGAGCTGATTCCGACTTAAATTTTTTGATTTATGGCCATTTTTTTAAAACTCCCAAATTTCGGAAAAATACTTATAGCCCATGGTTTTTTTCATAAAATGGCTCTGAAATCACCCCAAATTTTTATTACATTTTCTGATACATATTGATGTCCTTATGCTCTGTAGGAAGTTTGAGCTGATTCCAACTTTAATTTTTCAAGTTATGACCATTTTTTAAAACTCCAAATTTTGGAAAAATACCCAAGGCTATAGCCCATGGTTTTTTTTTAAATGGCTCCGAAATCACCCCAAATTTTTATTACATTTTCTGATACATATTGATGTACTTATGGTATTTTGAAAGTTTGAGCTGATTCCGACTTAAATTTCTCGACTTATGGCTATTTTTAAAAACTCCAAATTTCAGAAAAACGCCAAAGGCTATAGCTCATGGTTTTTTTCAAAAAATGGCTCCGAAATGACCCCAACTTTTTATTAGATTTTCTGATACATATTTATGTCCTTATGCTATGTAGAAAGTGTGTGCTGATTCCAACTGAAAATTTTGAGTTGTGGCCATTTTTAAAATCAGCCAATTTTTGAAATTACTCTGTACTATAGCCCATGGTTTTTCTGAAAAATAGCTCCAAAATCACTCCCAATTTTTATTACATTTTCTGATACATATTAATGTACTTATTAACATACAACTTATATATACATGTACATTTGTACATTGTACATGTACATGTATACTTTTTATTATTTTATTTTATTATTGTCTGCTCTTGGTGCAGGGTCCTCCCACTGTTGCTAAAAGAGACAGTGATCTGTCTTGTGCTAGTGTCTTCAGTTTAAGTGAAGGGAATCAGAAAGAGGAGGAGAAGGAGGAGAAAAACCTTCAATCACTTGTAGAACAGGAGCTATTATTAGATAATGTTTATAGACAGGTATTTATTTTTTACTATTATTTATCAGAGTCATCCCCAGCTTTACATCTACATGTATAGCTTTTTATCTCCGAGCCATTTTTTACAAAATGTGAGTTTTGGAGCCTTTTAAAGAATTAATCAGCATAATACATGTATATACATGTACATGCACATAAAATTACTAGGCAAATGTAAACCATTGAGGGGCGAGCAAAATGATTAAAATCTTGATTTTCGATTAGCAATGTACAATGTCTATATAGATTGATGTAGTCACATATTAAGACTAAATAAATGTTGATGTCAATATACTGATGCAGAGCATTGCAGAACTTTCACTAGTGGAAGGTAATTTCATACTATGAGCTTGCTCTTCAAGCTTCATGAGTTAAGAATTTCTGCAGATATTAATGACAGTCACTGTCTCACAACTTGATCTTCTTTCTGATGGATAAGGGATCATATAAGCTGTGATTCAACAATGATTACAGACCTTAATGATTATATAGCTACTTTTCATCTTTCTTGCTGCTAGAGAAGTGTCTGGATAACAGATGAGTATTATCCTGCTGCAAGTAAGCTGGAGAATTGCTCCCGTTTCATAGCCTTTATAGTCGCCATTTTGTTTCATGCAACCACA